AAAAAAAAATTATCGCATTTCATAAAAACTAAAAAAAATACTTTTAATTTTTTTAAGTAATTGAAATTCGATTCACAATAATCGATTAATTAGAAAATATTACTTAAATTAAAAATAAGGCATCATCTTAAATACAAAAAACAGATGTATAAATTCAAAATGTTTTGTTTCATTTTACTCTTTATGCTCTGTGAACATGGAGAAAACATTTTACATCTCTACCGTCTTATAAAATCGCCCGAAAGCACAACATTTAGCTGGAAAGGTGATGGCCTCGGTATTTTGGGATATGAAAGATGTAATAAAGAAAAGAAAAATATTTTGTTTCATCAAGACAACGCACATGTGACACAGTCAATCTAGACAAAGACAAATATGCATGAATTACACATTGAATTACTGCCGCATTCACCTTATTCTCCAGATTTGGCTCCCAACGACAATTGGTTGTTCGCAGACCAAAAAATGCTCGCCGGTAATGAATTTCGCCCGAATGCAGAGGTCATCACTGAAACTGAGGCCTATTTTGAGGCAAAGGACAAGTCGTTCTACAAATGTGGTATTGAAATGTTAGAGCGGCGCTGGAATGATTGTGTTGCTCTTGATGGAGATTATATTGATGAATAAAGCCAAATTTGAACAAAAAAAAACTGTGTTTTCTTTGTTAGGCCCAGGGCTTTTCAGCCCATGTGTTAGAGAAAACATTTTACATTTCTCGCATCTTCCAGAAATTATTGAAGGATTTTGGTTTAATTTCTTTGATTCAATATCTATTCCTGGAAATACTCTATGTACTTATCAAGTGTTCCTCCTTAACGAATTTGAAAACATTCGTTTAGGGAAATGTTACACTTTTTGTATTCACTTCTCGATAAATTCTATTGTGACATGAATGTCATGCAAATGTATTTTACAGGAGTTTTTATTACGCGCTTAAACCAGGTTTAAAAAAAAACCTTTTTTTGGCTCAAAGTGGAGAGCTATATAAGCATTAATCAATCTGCTGTGGTGTCGAAGCGTTTAGCTTTAGCTCGTAAAACTTTATGTAAATGCCTTTTTCTCGAAACTGAATTTTTGCAATCGGAAGATGATGGTAAGCAGAGACTATAACGCATATTTACTTAGAATTTTGGCTGTAGCTTTACAACAATATAGTCTAATATACTGTTTTTTTTATTATAACTAAAATTTTTTTTTACAATTTACTGTTAATTTTTTGGTAACAATTTAATCTTTTTTACAAATACGCCATTTTGCAAAAATTTGCTTTAAAGATAAAAACATAAAGACTTTACTAGCAAGTCTTAGGTAGACTGAACAGGGCATACTAAGTTTGCCACGAAGTTTGTAACACCCAGAAGGAAACGTCGGAGATCCTATAAAATATATACATAAATGATCAGCTGATGGATTGAGGCGATTAGCTATGTCCGTTTGTCTGTAAATATACAAAAAAGTCGATCAGCTTTTGAGATATCGATCTGAAATTTTGCACACGTTCTTTCCTCCTAAAGAAACTGTTAATTTTTCCAATCCGCCGGTATCGAAACACTATGGAATATAGCTGTCATACAAACTGTACGATCAAATACATATCCTTGTATGGAAAACTTTTTTATTTGAAGAGATATCGTCCCGAAACTTTGAATGGATTATTGTTTAAGGTAACGGTACAATCTCCGAACAAATTGTTTAGAACTAACTACTATAGCTTATAGCTGCCATACAATCTGAAAAATCAAAATCAAGACCTTTTTATACCCTTTTATGCTATAAGAACTGCACATACATGCCCCAAAAGAGGGCTGATAGAAGTTCGATTCCTTTTACATTATTTCTAGAATAAATTGTCAAAGTCATGTTTTTTGAGAGCGGTAGAGTGGGCATAACCCCTTAATGAAAACCACTACCAACCAAAAATTAAACTAAAAATTTGAAAAAAAAATTGGTCGAAAATTTTGAAAAGTTAAATTTAGCAAATAACATAATTTAGTTGAACATAAGAAGGTTTGTTTACACCAAATCTCGTCAAAGAATTGTTTTTTGTACAATATAGAAATAAAAAATCCAAAAACTTCAATATTTGAATTTGTCATATAAATTTTGAGGTTATGTACAATCGAGTTAGTCCATTTTTGACCTTTAAAAATTCCTCCCCCCTCTTCTTCTACTTCCCTAGCTCAGATCGCCCTTAAATTATTTTTCCTTTAACATTGGTTTATTTTACTTTTCATTTCCAACGGGTTTCATGCTACTATAATTATACCCCGAACAGGGTATATTAAGTTTGCCACGAAGTTTGTAACACCCAGAAGGAAACGTCGGAGACCCTATAAAATGTATACATATGTGATCAGTATGATGAGCTGAGTTGATTTAGCCGTTTCTCCGTCTGTCTTTCCGTCCGTCCGTCTGTATATACGCAAACTAGTCTTTCAGTTGTTGAGATATCGATCTTAAATTAACCATACAACCTTTTCTCCCAAAGAAGCTACTCATTTGTCCGAATGGCCGATATCGGACCACTATAGCATGTAGCTGTTATACAAACGGAACAATCGGAATCAAGTTATTGTATGGAAAATTTTTTCATTTGACGAGATATCTTCATTATATTTGAAACGGATCACTATCTAAGGCAATAATATAATTTCCGAAGAAATTGTTCAGATCGAATCACTATAGCATATTGCTGTCATGAAAGCAGAATGATCGAAATCAAGATCTTCTAAGAAATCTTTTGTATTTCTGAAGGATGTTATAGCTTCGGTGCAACCGAAGTTAACGTTTTTTCTTGTTTTTTTTTTTGTTTTCAAAAATTACCTACCCTACTCTATATAGTGTTGATATTAAATATTAACATTTTCAAAAGAATATATTTTGGTAGAAATATGGTAACATTTTAAATTCAATTAAAAAATTTTAAGTTCAAAAATATCTTTCGCAACAGAAGTTCAAAATATATGCGATATGTGATAATAACATTAACTACATATAACGTTAGCAATTAAATTCTAATAACGAAAATTAATCGCTTAAGTTCTCAGCCTACTTTCATACATACATACGTATGCCTCAAATACATTTACGCAAGGTTTTATTGAATATACAAACACTGTTTCTGCTAAAGACACCCCAAAAGGATTTTTTAATATTTTTTTATTACACCAAAGCTTGTCGTAAATGATTTTGTAGCGTTTTATTAATTCCTCCCAGTGGTGAGCCTTTGTTTTGCGCTTGTTAAACACACGATGACATAGACACTTGAAAATAAATTATGTATAGCTTAAGTGTTAAGCTTGTTATGTTGCTGCTTTTGTGCTAAATTGTTTGTTTGTTTGTTTAAATATTGGCGCAACAAAAGCAGTCTAAATATGCGCACACATATACACAAACCCACCTCCGCATACATACATATAAGCATAAATGCAACCTTTTTCGTACGCCAAGCGCCCACACACATCGACTTAAGCATTCGCAAAGCTTCACTACTCACTGTTTATTGTTATTTTATTATGATTATTATTTTTGCAGCAGTAACATTTTGCGCTCTTGCCAGCCCAAACGAATGCCCAGTAATGTATAATGGATTTGTGCTTTTGTATGTGTGTAGGTAAGCTGGTGCGCACGCTGGCAAAACCACAATACTTTTGTGTACATATTTAATTTACTTATTTCCTCAATTTCAGCTTCGTGCTTTTGTTGGTACCAACGCTGGTGTGCTTGTTATCTTTGTTATTGTTGTTGTTTTTGTTGTAGCCAAAGCACATAAAACTTGTCAATTAAATCGGCATTGTGTTGTCATTAAGTTGAGCGCTCAAGTTGTCTTTGCATTTTTTCTTGCTATTCCTGTTTTTTTTTCTCTTTGCATTGCATACTTCAAGGCGCACCACAGCACTGCTGCTGCTGTCGTTGATTTGTTTTGCTTTTCGCTTGTGCCTTATTATGCTTTATGTTTCACTTAGTCGTGGCTTTGTTGTTATTACACTACTTGTGCTTGTTATTGTTATTGTTATTGTTTTTGCAGCAGTTTTTTTTCCCCTGCACACGCTGCTTGCTCAGTCGCTCGTTCGCTTTGTATGCAAACAACTTGTATAACCCATTGCCTTTTCACGTCGCCTTTCAGGCATAAAAGCGCGCAAGCACACCAACATGCATACACACACTCACACACATACACCTATATAAGAGCTCTATGTGCGGCTGCCTGCCGTGTGCCTGTGTGTAGGCAACATACAAATTCATTCATTCATGAGTTGGAATTCCAACTTAACACTTCGCTACGCCGCTCCTGGCGCAAGAAATCACAGCCTGCTGCTTTCTGCCTGCTAGCTGCTGCTTTCGTGTGTCTTCTTCGTTTTTCACTGCCAACTTTGTCAACGTAATACCATTTTTCAGCGCTCAAACTCATTCTTTATTAATAATCTTGTTTTTTTTTTAGTGATATTTTTTGGTCTTTCTTTTATAGTTTGTATATCTTATTTTTTGTTTTTTTTATTTGCAACTTCAAGTAGTGGTTACAACGCAGCAGCACCCATAAATCACGCATCAGTTGTAGTTGTTCTGTAGTCCCACGCTATGACATGCCATCCCCCCCACCTGTTTGGTATGCGTGTATATGGCCAATGTGGCACGCTGTCATACAGATATCACCCGCCCACTCACTCGCTCGCATATCGGCCGACTCGCTCACACTTGCCGTGTCACTGTGTTGCTATGTTAGTATGTGTGTATGTATATGTGTAGTATTAAGGAAACTTCTTCACTTTGTAAACTGTGTAAACTTTTTCGCGTAAATTACTACTTTATTCCTTGTTGTACGCGTACATAATTATTTTTTATAATTTTTTCTAATTTACGCTCTAGTGCTTCGCTCACCCTGCCTGCCAATTTCTACAAGTTTCACGAAATTTTCATAATATGCTTTTCAATTTTCCTCGATTTCCGTTATTCTCATTTTTTTTTGGCTTATTTTACAATTTTCACTGTATTAATTTCACCTTTGCTGCACCTATGTTGTTGTTCTTGTTGTTTGCGCTTGCTTACTGCTGTTATGATTTTATTTTTGCTTGTTAAATTTTGTTGTTGTTGTTTTATTTTTGCTTGCTATTTTTTATTGTTGTTTTATTTGTTTATTTATTTGTTGTTTTGTTTTTGCGCTTTCGCTGCTTTTGTTACTTGTTGTTTGCTGCACTCCACTTTTGCTAGTGTTGCTAATAAATTTCTTGCTGTTGTTGTGGTTGTTGTTGTTGCATGCTACAACTGTTGTGTATTTTTAATTTTATTTTTTGCTCACCAAACATGAATTTCTTTAAACACTGCTCTGCTAGCTGACTCAGCTGACACTCCGCTTGGCAGGGCGCTTCGTTAGCTTCCTTTCGTTTGTCGCGAGCAACTGAATTCGTTGCTCTGCCAGCATCGCCATTTAAGATACAATATTCGCACTGTCCTCTGTGCGCTGTTTTCTGCCGTTTTTGCTGTTGTTGCTGCCGTTGAGCTTTCAAGCTCTTCCCACTCTTGCTGGGGGTGATTCTAAGAGTTTCTAATGTGTGCCATTTCAGTTTTCTACTCTTCGGCGTGGAAGCGCAAAAGTGCATATTGTTGCATGTGTTTTTGTGGCAAAATACTGGGAACATCCACTGCATACAGTTAGTTCTATGCTGGCAGCACCTGTGTCTGCGTGAATTAAATATATATATGTATGTATGTGTGTGTTCGTTTGTCTCATGACTGAGTGGCAGGTTAGTCGTGTTTCGATTGTGCTCTTTCGGTGTGTATGTGTATAAGGGTGCGTGGGTGTGTGAGCGATGCTCTGATGCATTGCTGATGCAATGCAGCTGTTGATTGAAGAAACAGCGGAAAAACAACAAAGACGCAGCAAATGATGGATAATGCGTTTGCTTTCTTTATAAAGAAAGCTAGCAAAAGAATCGCTGCCAGCGGGAGCTAAGTTGATTTATTTTGTCAATCATCAAATGCCAGATAATTTCTACATTTTTTCCTGGAAATATTGTTGTCCTTTTTAAGCCTATAAGTCGCAGCTGCAATAATAGCGGAAGAAGTTAAATGAAAAGTACTTTCTTTTTGTTAAAACTCGTAGATCGGGTTCAATACTATTGAAACCCAAAAAAATAATAGTAGGATGAAACTCATTAGAAAAGTAAGAGAATATAACAGTAAGAAAAAACTTAAGTTTGGTTGCATCTCAGCTAGTATAACTTTCATAAATAAAGAAGGTTCTGTACAAGAACTCGATTTTGATCATTCAGTTCGTACGGCTGCTAATATATATTGCTATGTCTCTCTCTACCTCATTTTCCATTACAAATCTTAAGGTAAAAATTTAAATTGTATTATCATATTTTACAAAAATGTTGTTTCTTTCACGAAATGTGGAATAAACTAATCTTTTGATGTCCCAAACACACTGTTCTATTCATACACGAACGCAATCCCACTACCTTGTTGGATTTCTACCATTGTTATGATTTCCAAGCCGGGAAAAGATGCTAGTCAAATTACATCATATAGACCTATTAGCTTGTTAGCAAATATTAGATCGGCATTTGACATATCCCAGGCATTCGATAAGGTTTGGCACGACGGACTGATCAGCAAAAATACTTCGAGTGCTACCCGAGAACACACATAAACTTTTTAAAAGCTATTTAACTGATAGAACTCTTAAGGTCAGATTGAAGGACAAACTATCCTCCACAAAAAAAATCTCTGCAGCTGTCCCCCAAGAAAGTATATTAGGCCCTCTCCTATATTTTAATTATACATCAGACATGCCTACAAATCCTAACACATACACATCAACATATGCAGACCACACCACATTTATAAGCGTCAACAAGGATCCGCAGGTAGCATCAACGCAACTACAGCCGCACATATACGATTTAGAAAAATGGTTAGAAGAGTAGAGAATAAAAGTTAGTCCATCTAAGTGTACTCATGTAATCTTCACACTCAGAAGACAAGATTGCCTACAAATAAAAATAAATAAATAACATTGCTGTCCCTGTCGAAAATCACTTCAGATAACTAGGAGTCCATCTAGACCAGCGTCTAACATGGTCCCGTTATATCGAGGCCAAATTAGCGGCTATTAAGCTGAAATCCGCTCAAATGCACTGGATTATTGCTCCTAATTCAACACTAGATTTTTCTATACAAGTGCATTATAAAGTCTCTAATATGCAGAAATTGCAAAGACGACAGTCAAGAACTTTTACGACAAATCGTCTGTGCTCCATGGTATATTCGTAACGAAAATATCCATAGAGATCTCACAATTCCTAAAATTCATAACGAAATTAAAAAATACGCTATCAATTATGTCGGTAAGTTAACGACTCATCCCAATACCCCAGCAAGGGACCTGCTTCTATTCGAAGGCCATCAGAGGTTAAAACGAAGTAACACATTGAGCCTAGCTTGATACTCCCACTAACCTTGATTATAGAAAATTAGGATTTATTGTAAGATTTGAATACATAAAAGTTGGCAAGCTGGTGCTAACTCTAATTCTTAAAACTAGTCTTAAGATTTGAATATATTATTGTAAATTTCTTAAGGAATATTCAATAAAAAAAAAATAGAAAAAAACACTCTGTAATTTTTACACTCTCGCAACATGTTGCCACAGATAGTATAATAGTTTTATTCACCTAATGGTTGTTTGTATCAGGATGACTAGATGAGTTGAATTCCGAGCGACTGTTTGTCTGTCATAAAACATGGTATCCAAGGAGGGATGGTATTACAGATCGGCGGGATCTATTGCCATGCCCACAAAACGCCATTAATCGAAAATATATAAAATACCATAACTAAGCTCCACAATAAGATACAAGGCTGTTATTTAGTACAACGAATTGCATTGGTGAAAGGCATCAATGGTTCAAAAATCTTTTAAAAAGTGGGTTGTGGCCCCGGCCTCTAATAAGTTAAAGGTATATATCTCCTAAATTATTTAAGCTATAATAACCAAATTCGCCAAGGAAAAATCTTTATGGCATCTCTACCCACCCTCGGGGTTATGGCTGAATTCGGACTAAAACCCCGCCCACTCCCCATATAGCGGTTTTGTTGAAAATTATAAAAAGTGCGATCAACTTATAGTTAAATGTGCCAGAAACATGAAATGTTAGACTCGAGATGGTTCGAAAAGGCTTTTTAGGAGCAGGTGTCACATTTGGGACATACTCGACTGATTTCAACTAAATTCAGTAAGTAGTATTATCCTGCCATTCCTACATCACAGTGCTAAAATAGTCGAAATCAGACAAAAACCACGCCTACTTCCTGATATTCTATCGAATTTCTCCCTTCCTTACTTGTTTTATTTAAAATATATATTTTTATACCCTGAACAGGGTATATTAAGTTTGTCACTCTGTTTGTAACACACAGAAGGAAACGTCGGAGACCCTATAAAATTTATACATAAATGATCACCATGATGAGCTGAGTTGAATTAGCCATGTTCGTATGTCTGTCCATCTGTCTGTCTGTATATACGCGAACTAGTCTCTCAGTTTTTGAGATATCGTACTTAAATTTAGGATATGACCGTTTCTGACCAAGAAGCAGCTCATATTGCTGTCATACAAGCTGAACGATCGGAATCAAGTTCCTCCAAACAATCTTTTGTATTTGTGAAGTGTATTATAGCTTTGGTGCAAGCGAAGTTAACGTTTTTTCTTGTTTCACCTTATTTTCACTTAATATTGGAAATAGACCATAATTTTTATTTGAAAAATCCGCACGTAAAAATATCTGTTTTATAAAAATTATTTACAGTACTATGGTAAATTTTCTCAAAAAATAGAAAAGAAGACCACACTTAAGGATTCAAATCTGACTAGGAAATAAATGGTAGAAAGCCGAATATGTTTTTAGTTTCGTAAATACTTCTTTAGTAAGAAAATTTTGTAAGAAAATATCTTTGATTCCCCACTTCTTAACCCCATTACATTTATACTACGCTACTAACAAATAACGCTAAAAACAAAAAAAAATGTTCAGAGATATTAAATGAGCTAAATACAATTTCGTAGAGGACTGAGATACTTCATTTCCGACTTTTAAGCATTCCATATAATTCCTTCTAGATATAATTCGTGTGTACAGTTGATTTTCATGACCATTTGTTTATGTCAGTGACTCTTCGTTTCCCTACTCTCTAAATGTTCATGAATAGAAGATGGCTGCGGCTACTAATTATTCTTATTATATTTCAATTATTACCATACAAGAAGTTAATTGTCTTCAACTCCTTATTTAAATTTTGAAATGGAGCTCGTAGCTCTTTCTAAATGGCAAATATAGGTATGTATCTTTTTGCTTTGTCCTTGCAAGAAACGTATTCCGGAGAGGGTACAAGAATGTAGACCAGCTATGCTCAGATGGTTTCTTTAGTTCAAAATAACCTTAGCGTGGCTCATACTCAAAAGAAATATGACACTCTCTCGGCTGGCTAGCGTTGCGCTCGGTGGGGTCAAACCGTGCTGAATTGCATTATAATGTTCTCCCTCGTTTTTACTCAGCTACAGTACATAAATTTGGTTCGTCTAGGTAATCATTAGTAGGTACGCTTCATGCCAATATTGGAAACTTTCGAGCCAATTTGAAAAATTAATTTAAGGAACTCTAAATTCAACTAATTAAGTCGTTTCGACCACAGTACTTTTCAAATTGTTAAAGAAACTGTTGAATATGACCCACTCAATAATTTTTCTTTACTCTATTTCTATAGATAAAACTAACAAGCCCATGATTGAATATGGAAATGTTTTCTTTGCCGAATTTTACATGTTCTATTCACCCTTCTGAGATGTGATGCGATGAGATAAGACAATGATGTTTCGATATAGCTTACATATCTTCAATCGATGATCATTATATACTTCGTTTATGTTTAGCTTTATATAATAACGCCGTATTATTTATATGCTGAAAAATATTGAACTAAAAACTCTTCAGTTAAAAAGACTGGCTGAACAGAGAAGCTCCAGATATCGCCATTACTATGCGACAGTAACCATTTAAAAGAGAAAAGCTTACGAAACAGACGTCGACGTAATCCTAAAAAAAATGTACAAAGGCACCGGTATCTGGCCTTTAAGTGGAATTGATAAAATAGTAAATGGTTAGCGTACTTTAAGTATTACAAGATTCGGATAGCTCTTTCCAATGCTAAGTGAACTTTCTTTGAAAACACTAGAGTTGATATAATAGAGGGCGATTTGTAATAGTTACATGTGTGAAATTTGCACAGACTCACATATAATCTTCGGTTAGGTTAGGTTAGATGGCTACTTTGATATCAGCTATCGGCAAAAACGTCCTGAATCTATCACAAGTCTGCTTAGGTGCTTTATTTATATTTCCGCTATTTCACCTGGATGTCAAAAAGTATGAGATCCGAGGTGTTTTTGACATGTTCTGGCAAAAGTGCT